GATCCAGCGATTCTCGTTGCTTAATCCTTCATCGATGATCTGCAGGAAAGTCACGATAATTAGATAAAAATATATGACTTTTGACTCTAGGAGGATTCGAACCCGCGTCGATTGCCCGCCCTTTCTAGGGAAGGTGATTGACATAGGTTCCTTCTAATGTTTTGAGCGAATATATAGTAATGTTACATTTCTAAGCAAGTTCCTTCTCTCGCGTGTATGACCACTCCTTGCCCCACAGCCGGCTGGCCACCGGTGAAGTGGAAGGGGAGTAGTGCACACATGCCCCTATCGTTCTAAGCCGCTCGAGCCCCAGCTCGTAGCTACTCCCCGACTGAGCTTCCGACCCGCTTGCGGGCCCGGCTGGCCAGTGGGTCCCCCTCATTTTGTCTTATTTTTATTTTTTATTTATTTTTCTTCATTTATCACAAAAGTAAGACTGTAAAAATCATATAAATTCGTGTAAAATCACATAATTACCCAAAAATTCACATTAATCAACTGAAAACCACTTTTCACACTTTAACACAAATATAAGTCTATTTATCATGGGTTAAGGCTAAAACTATATTATTTACTAATTATTAACTCATGATAATGAAGACTTATCACACCCCCCAACTTAAATCATTGCTAGTCCCTTAGAAATAGAATTATGAAAATAAAAATTTACAAATCTCAAACATCATATTTCAATATAGAAAGAAAAAAAATACAATTAGAAATGATGCACCTTTAGACACTTTGGATTCTTATATCAAGTATTTAAGAATGATGTCAAGCACTTAAATGTTTAAACACTCCTTGGAATAACAATCTAGACTTCACTTCTTTTATTCACATCTTTATCACTTCTTCACTCATAGATGTATTTACAAGATGTTCTAATTATCAATACTCATCCAAGAATAATATTAATCCGACATTTCCCTTTTTCTATGGCTTGATTTTTGAAGTTTGCACTATATTTCTTCCTTCTTTTTTATTTTCAATATATATATTGGATAAGTAGCTTTTCCTGTAGACAAATTTCGACGATAAGACTGATGTCTCACATCCTCCATGTGTACTCTTCATTTTCAGGGCTTTCACTTTATCCACTTATTTTACAGCAAGTGTTTTTCTATGCACGATTTTCGACAATGAGAATGATGTCTCACACCCTCCATGTGTACTCTTCGTTTTTAGATTTTTCACATTGCTTTCTCTCTTTTTTTTTTTTTCGAAATAATTGATTTCTCCTCACAAGTCCTATAGATCAGGGTGCAAGAATCTCCATTAAACTCAAATGATCAATCAATTTTTCACATCAAGTAAATACTATCTATCAAGATTATGAAGTAAAAATCTGTAAAATCAAATCCATGTTATCTATCATGTATCCAAGGAGTATTTCAACATTTTATGCTACTAGATCATTCTTTTGACTCAATAATAATCTTCCTAGTATCTTTTGGTATCAATCAATTTAATTGATTTAATTTTTCATGCATGCAATATGATGTAAGAGATTTGTAAATTAAATAGTTCTGGCAGTTCTGTTTTTTATTTTCAGTTCTATTTTTAGTAACAATAAATTTGTCAAAAATAAATCAAAACTATCCTCTTTATAGCTGTAATTTCGAATTTCAGTAATATATGTCTAGGGGATTGAAATGTAAGAAAAGGGTCTCTAGAATTTCAAATTTCAGGCTGTTTTTTTTTGTTTGCTATTTTTGACAATCTATTCTTCCTGACAGAAAACCAAAAAATAGATGTTGCAGTTTTTCCAAATTTTATTTTATTTTTATTTTTTTAGTTGTTGTTCTAAGTTGAATAAAATGTAAACACATGTTCTTAATCGTCTTACAGCATAAATTAATAATGAATACTTCACCCCCCAACTTAAAAATGACATTGTCCTCAATGACACAAAAAAATCAAAACAGAATATGCAGAAAATATAATTTTCAAGTGAAGCATGCATATGTGCAAAGTTAAGCATTAAAAATATTTTGATAAATGATAAAGCTCAGAAAGACATCACCTCAACCTTGTTTTTAATTTTCCACTTCATCTTACACTCCTCCTCCTGCACTTTTTCGAAAAAACAAATACAAAAACAAGTACTGCGAAATTCTAAAAAAAAAACAAAGCTAAAAAAAAAATCAAACAAAATGAAATAAAAACCATGGGTTGCCTCCCATGTAGCGTTGCATTTAATGTCTCCAGCTGGACTCCTTGATCTTACTTTTGAATTTCTTTTAATAATAAAATTTCTTTTTCTACAAGGCGTTCATGTTCTATGTAATGTTTAAGCCGCTGTCCATTTACCTTAAAGTTATGATCACTTTTAGGATCTTTAATCATTACAACCCCATGATCATATGTCTCTTCCACCACATAAGGCCCTTTTCATTTTTGATTTTAATTTTCCTGGGAATAATTTCAGCCTAGAATCATATAACCACACTTTTTGTCCAACATCAAAAAAAAATTTGCTAATGTATTTATCATGAAAAGTTTTAGTTTTTTATTTATATATTCTATGATTTTCATAAGCTTCATTCCTTAACTCCTCTAGTTCATGTAGCTGAAAAATTCTATGCCCACCAGCTGATTTTTCATCCATACATAAATTTTTTATAGCCCATAATGCTTTATGCTCTATTTCCACAAGAAGATGACATGGCTTTCCAAAAATGAGACGAAATGGGGACATACCTATGAGATTTTTATAAGCTGTTCTATAAGCCCATAATGCATCTTGTAATTTCGTGGGCCAATCTTTCCTATCTGGTCTAACTATTTTTCTCAAAATTCTCTGAATTTCCCTATTTGCTACTTCAGCTTGTCCATTTGTTTGGGGATGATATGGAGTGGCTACTCTATGGTGTACTTCATTCTTTTTCAATAGTTCCTTGAAACATTTATTTGTAAAATATGTTCCTCCATCACTAATAATCACTCTAGGACATCCAAATCTCGAAAAAATATTTTCCTACACAAATTTCATCATGATTTTATGATCATTAATTCTAGTAGGAATAGCTTCCACCCACTTCGACACATAATCAACAGCAAGCAAAATATATTCATATTTTTCAGTTGATGGGAAGGGATCCATGAAATCTATTCCCCATACATCAAAAATTTCGACTACTAACATGTTACTCATTAGCATTTCATCTTTTTTACTCATGTTACCTATAGATTTACATGAAATACATGTTCTACTAAATTCTATAGAATCTCTAATGATTGTAGGCCAATAAAAACCATACTAAAAAAAAATTGCAGCTGTTTTTCGTCTAGAGAAATGTCTTCCACAGTTAGATGAATGACACATGTTAACAATGCTATGATATTCTTCTTCAAGAACACATCTCCTTAAAATTTGATCATTGCCCAAGTAATATAAATCAGGATCATGCAAAAAATAATTTCTAATCTTAGAAAAGAAATGATGTTTTCTGTTCTTACCCTATTGTTCTAGAATTTTTTCCAGAAACCAGAAAATTAACAATATGTGCATACCATGGTGATGGTTGATGTTGAGCTGCCATCAATTGTTCATCTGGAAATGCATCGTGTAAAGGTGCTGCATTTATTCTTGTATCACTTAATCTAGAAATATGGTCAGCAACAACATTCTTGAAATCTTTTTTATCTTTTATTTCTAAGTCAAATTCCTGCAACAATAAAATCCATCTTAATAGACATGGCTTTGCATCTTTCTTATTCAACAGATATTTTAATGCTGCATGATCAGTATAAATAATAATTTTAGCTCCCAAAATACATGATCTAAACCTTTCTAACGCAAATACTATAGCTAACAACTCTTTTTCAGTTGTGGTATAATTTAATTGAGCATCGGATATAGTTTTACTAGCATATAAAATTACTATGGGTTTTGACTCTTTTGTTTGTCCTAGAACGGCCCCCACTACATAATTCGATGCATCACACATTATTTCAAAGGGAAGGGACCAATTAGGAGCTTGTAAAATAGGTGCCTCAGTAAGTAATCTTTTTCTTTCAGAAAAAGACTCAAAACATTTCTCATCAGAATTAAAAGGCACATCTTTAGATAATAGCATGGTGAGAGGTTTAGAAATTTTTGAAAAATCTTGAATAAATTTTCTGTAATAACCTGCATGACCCAAGAAAGATCTAATCTGTTTTACTGAATTTGGAGGTCTCATTTTAGATATAATATCAATTTTTGCTCTATCCACCTCTAAACCCCTTTCACTCACAATATGACCAAACACAACTCCCTCTCTAACCATAAAATGTGATTTCTCCCAACTCAAAACTATTTTTTTCTCTATGCATTTCTCAAGTACATGCTGTAAATGATTTAAGTATTCATCAAATGATTCACCAAAAATAGAAAAATCGTCCATAAAAATTTCCATGCATTTTCCAATCATATCAAAAAAAATAGACAGCATACATCTTTGAAATGTGGCTGGAGTATTACACAGACCAAAAGGCATGCGTTTAAAAGTAAAAGTACCAAATGGACAAGTGAAAGTTATTTTTTCTTGATCTAAAGGGTTTATATAAATTTGATTATAACCAGAGTATCCATCCAGAAAACAAAAAAAGTTTTTTCCAGCTAATTTTTCTAGAATTTGATTAGTAAATGGTAGGGGAAAATGTTCTTTTCTAGTAACTGAATTTAATTTTCTACAATCAATGCAAACCCTCCAACCGGTAGTTAATCTTGTTTGTATTTCATCCCCATTTATTTTTTTTATAACCATGATCCTTGATTTTTTTGGCACCACTTGTGTAGGACTAACCCATTTGTTATCTGAAATAGGATAAATAATATCAGCAGCCAGCCACTTTAAAATTTCTATTTTTACAATTTCCATCATGTTAGGATTTAATCTTCGTTGTGGTTCCCTGCTAGTTCTAGCCCCCTCCTCTAGATATATACTATGTATGCATACACTCATATCAATGCCCCTTAGATCATCCATTTTTCAGCCCATAGCCTTCTTATTTTTTCAAAGTAGATCTAATAATTCTTCTTCTTGTTCATCACTCAAATCAGCTGCAATAATAACAGGAAATGAATTATTTTTCTCCAAAAACATATATTTTAAACTAGAGGGAAGAGGTTTCAACTCTAAATTTAGATGATCTTCCTCTTTTTTTTCTCCCAAATTTATATTCTCTATTTCCTCTAATTCTTCTAGCACACAGTCATCAATAACATCTGGATTATCAAAATCATCTAGAAGATCTATGGTATGACAATCATATACTTGTGATTTCTTAAGATCATTTGGTACCTCAAAAATTTTAATTTCTACTGATTGATCTCCACATGAAATTTTCGCAATACCTGTGAGAAAATCAATATTCATCTTTGCTCTATGCAAAAATGGTCTCCCTAAGATGATTGGTGTATCATAAAACTGTCCATTAAAATCTATTTCCAACACTACAAAATCAGCTAGAAATTTACACCCTTTAACTGTCACTATCACATTTTCTAAAATACCTTTAGGATGTTTTATGGATCTATCAGCAAATTGTAAGGTAACAGTGGAAGGTTTAAGATCAGAAATATTAAATTTATCAAAAATACTTGTAGGTAATAAATTAATACTAGCACCGGTGTCAAGTAATGCATTCTGAAAAATGGATCCACCAATATCACACGAAATTAAAGGGGCACCTATATCTCTCAATTTATATGGTAATTGATTTAATAATAATGCACTAGCATACATAGAAAAAAATTCTACTCTAGGTGCCCTTTTTGGTGTACACGTTTCTTTCAAAACTTTAGCATATTCAGGAGTATGTTCAATGGCAGTGAGTAAAGGAAGACTAATTTGCACATCTTGTAAAATTTTCTTTATTTCTTCATTGTGTTCCTTTTTCTTTCTTTGTCTAGGTTCTAGAGCTTTAGAAAATGGAATGGTCATCCTCTTTTTTGAAATTTCCTTGGTAAAATCTATAAAATCCTCTTCTACTCCTATTTGATTTTGTTTTGGGTTGTCCACGTTTTCTTTTTCTTCTAATGTTTGGAGATAAGGATCAAGTAAGATCTTACCACTCCTTAATGCATTCATTGTCCTAACATTTTCATTTCGTGGGTTTTTTCCTAGATTCATGCTACTAGACTCCCCTTGCTGAAATCCTATTGTTGGGCAGTTCCCTGGATTTTCTATAGGCTAACTAGGTAGTTGTCCCTCTTCTTTCTTATTCCCAAGAGCCTCTATAATTTATTTCTGGTGTAGCATCATTTGATTCATAGTTTGTTGCATCATTTGGCTCATTTGCTGCATCATTTCCATAGCATTAGGTTGAATTTGAGAGGGCTGATTTTTCTGAAATCTGTTTTCTTGTTTTGGACTAAATTCAGAGTTTGAATTGAGTCTAAGTGCTTCTGGATTTTGAATATTATTTAGGTCTCTCTATGAAAAATTATTCCTCCAATTAGGATTATAAGAATTTGAAAAATATTCCCTATTTCTATTAAAACCGTGAGCTACTTGCACTTGTTCTTGCATAGGGTGAAATGATTGATCTAAATTATAACATTGAAATTCAAAATAATCATTTTCACCATACATAGGACATGTACTATTCGAATTAAGTTGAGGGTTAAAAGGCTTTCTAATATTGTCAATAAGTAAATCATTTTTTTCTAATCTTTGATTAATCTGATTAACCTCATTTCTAAGTTTAGAATCATCATCATGATGCAATTCATAAATTCCTCTCTTCTTATCCCTGTCATATAATTCAAAAGAGGCTTGATCTCTAGAATTTTCACTTAAATTCTCATAAAGACTGTAAATCTCATCAGGAGTTTTCTCCATAAAAGCTCCTCCACATATAGAATCAACCATATTTTTATGTTGTTCTAATAATCCATCATAAAAAATTCTATTGAGCTGCCACTTGGGTATAATATGATGAGGACACTTTCTAAGTAAATCTTTGAATTTTTCCCATGTCTCATGCAAAGTTTCTCTTGGTCTTTGAGAAAAACTCCATATATGTTTACTCATATTTTAAGTTTTTCCTAAGGGATAAAATTTTCGAAGAAAGGCTTGTTCTATATCTTTCTAGCTAGTTAATTCTCTATCTAATGTGGATAGCCAATGACTAGCTTTGTCCCTAAGTGTATGAGGAAATAATTTCATCTTAATAATTCCCGGTGTAACTTGAGGGAGATTAACTAAATCACAGATCATATGAAATTTTTCTAAGTGCTGATGAAGGTTCCTCTAAAGGCAATTCATGAAAATTAGGGAGCATTTGAAAAATTCCTAGATTTATTTCGAATTTAATAGTGGGTGTTAATGGGACTCTAATATTGGATGCTCTTTGAAATGAATCAGGGATATAATGATTTTTTATGGCCATAGGATTGTTCTCAGTTTGACCTGTACTTCTTTCAGGATCCATCAAAATTAATTTTTCTTTCGGATTTTTATTTTTGAATGAAATAATGAAAGGATTTTCTAGCCTTGGATGCAAGGATCTTCTACCATGCATAAAAATTAATGAATTCGAGGGAAAAATTTAGTAATTGTTACCCTCCTTCAGTATGCTCCTGTCCTTGCCTTGCCTTTTTTTGTTCCCTTTTTCTAAAAGAAAATCGACAAAAAGAAAATAAAACAAGAGTTAAATTTTTTTGTGTACTCTAAGAGAAAAACAGAAAAATACTAAATATTATGCAATACATCCCCGGAAACGGTGCCAAAATTTGACATGACTTAATTGTTGTATAGTAAATCATGCAAATTTAAAATTTATAAAACTAGAAAATACGATTTTTTGAATATTTAGAAGTATTTCTGAACAAATATATCAATTATAATTCAATAAAACTTCCAAAAATAACGGTAATTTTCCAGGTCGATTATAGGGATGTAATATAATATCTGGTAATTATTCAGAATTTTTCTCTATGAATACGATTTTCTATGAATTTTATACTAGGAAATGAAAAGGAAATATATTTAAAATTCACGAAAAAGGGAAATAAGGGTGCAGACGTCAGGATGACGTTAGCGCCCGGCAAACGCGAATCGGGCAAAAATAAAGTTCCGCCCGACGATTCTTATGTAAGCGATTACAGATGATTTAATTAATCAAATTAAGATCTTAAAAGCCGAAAGAATCGTAATTGAATGAAGTATATTTTGGTAAATTAAAATCACAAAAATTATCACTAAATGAAGCGTAAAGTAAGTTGAAAGCAAGAAAATAGAGTTCCGGCATCGCGATGGCGATGCGTCGGCGATGCATCGGAATCCTAAGCGTTCAGGAGGTTCGTCATGCAGTGTCCACGGCCTCGAAGGCTTTCCTTGGACAAAGACGACATGGGCAATCTCTAGATCTTCTTGCGAAGTCTAGAGATTAATGAAATGGGTTGTCGAATCATCTCCGGTGGCTGTCACTCAGTGGAGCGAAAAAACGACGACTTTGCGGTCTCTGGTGGCTGTCACCCGACGAAGAGGAGCTAGATGGAGGTGGGGCGCGTGTCAAGCAGCTTCATCCTCAGGTCCGTGCAGCAAGAGGAGGCTCATCATCGCATCCGATACGCTCTCAGGAGGTGGCGACTCACCTCCCGACGGATCGTCCTCTTCTCGACGACGGCTTGTTCGTCGATCAATCGGAGATGATTTACTCGATGGATTTGCAATCCTTTTATCGTGAATCGTTCAACAATTTTAGTAGCAATGCTCCGTGAATCGTATTGACGAGATTTTCGCCGATGATTTAGCAATTCCTATTGCTTAATCCTTCACCGGCGATCTGCAGGAAAGTCACGATAATTAGATAAAAATATATGACTTTTGACTCTGGGAGGATTCAAATCTGCGCCGGTTGCCCGCCCTTTCTGGGGAAGGTGACTGACGCGGGTTTAGTCCCACATCGGTTGTGCCCGATGTTTCGGGCGAATATATAGTAATGTTACATTTCTAAGCAAGTTCCTTCGCTCGCGTGTATGACCACTCCTTGCCCCACAGCCAGCTGGCCACCGGTGACGTGGAAGGGGAGTGGTGCACACGTGCCCCTATCGATCCAAGCCGCTCGAGCCCCTACTCGCGGCTACTCCCCGACTGAGCTTCTGACTCACTTGCGGGCCCGGCTGGCCGGCGGATCCACCTCATTTTGTCTTTTTTTATTTTTTATTTATTTATTTTCATTTATCACAAAAGTAAGACTATAAAAATCATATAAATTTGTGTAAAATCACATAATTACCCAAAAATTCACATTAATCAACTAAAAACCACTTTTCACACTTTAACACAAATATAAGTCTATTTATCATGGGTTAAGGCTAAAACTATATTATTTACTAATTATTAACTCATGATAATGAAGACTTATCAGCAGGTTGTGACGAAGCGGAGACTCGATGTAAGTAGAGACGTATGGGGAAGAGTGATGCTCAGCATCGACGATCGGTCCTAGTCGAGAAGTCGAGGTAGTCGTCGTCGTAAGGCGTGGCACGGTCAGCGCGGGCGTGGGATTGCTGGTGGGTCGAAGGGCATGCTAGTGGGCGCGCGTGGCAAGCCACGCGGCGTGCCTCAGGGCACGTAGGCGGCGGCACTTCGGTGGGAATGCCGAGCGTTAGCGACCCTTCGGCGGAAATCCAACCATCGCCGGAAGGATCGGCCTTCTCTGGCGGCGTCGGGAAGCAGAGCAGAGGAAGGGGGACGATCTGGCCGACGATACCAGGGAGGTTGAGCCCTCCTGGTCTAGGCGGCGCGGGAAACAGCGTGACTGCGGCGGATCATCGGGAAACTCTGGCCGGGGCCTGTGAGGAGCTTGGACTGGATCTCGCTCATCGGCACGGCTACAAGGTCTCTCCCGACGTCGGCGGCTGTAGTGGCAACCGCGACTGTTTCGTCCAGTGATGGCGGTGAACTGCCGGGTGGCAATGAGATGGCTGGCGACGACAGTGGTCTCAGGTGGCGACAGGACTTCTCAGGCAGCAGCGTCACGATGAACGAAGTCCTCAGGGTAACGACAGCCTTCCTCTCCCTCCTTCCCTCCCTATCCTAGGTCCCGAAGAAGGGTACTCACAAAATGATAATCTCTCACAAAAATACGGCGTCTTTTTTGAGGGGGGGTCCTACCTCCCCTTATATAGGGCCCACAAGTGGGCTAAGGGGAGGTGGGCCCACTTGAGGCTTTCAAGCCCATAAGCCACAAAAGGGCTACAAAAGGGGCTTATTGGGCCTCTTAAAGAGAGACCCAATAAGCTCCCCTAAAAGGAGAAAGAGGAGGGCCCTTGTACGGTGCTTAAGTGGGCCTCAAATGAAGACCCAAATAAGCCCCAAAAGAAGCTCAAAAGGAAAGAAGCATAGGTCCCCCCCCCTTAGGGTTTTAATTGGGCCTCAAAAGAGAGACCCAATAAAACCCTAAAGAAAGGGAGACACAAACAATAACACACACATAGAATTGGGCCCGCTAACACACAAATGCGAGGCCCAACAAGTCAACGTGAAAATACAAAGAAAGATAAGGGTGAGCTCGAGCTCGTCGTCGTCGTGGAGGTGGAATGTCGTCGTCCCGAAGGGCTAGGCCGTGTAGTGAAAGCCAGGCTCCTTCGTCTTCGTGCATTGATCCGGCTGAACTCGGACTGCCGGTGTCTCCTGAGCTGATGGAGACAGGTCCCACTCGCCATCACATTAAGAATATATTAGGATCTCCACACATCAGTATGAATGAATAAAAATGGAGTAGAAACATTCACTTTATAATCTAGAACATTCACTTTAGAAAATAAGTATGAAAAATGTAATTTTCAATATTTTGAAGGATAGGTAACCAAGATAGTCCTTGGTTGTATTAGAGTTGGCAGCTGTACATCCTAATAAATATTGTAATTATGCGGTTAGGCCTAAAGCCTCAACGCGATAAAGTACTTTTCACTTTTTGTTATGTTCAATCA